CCCCAAAACCCCAAAACCCCAAAACCCCATAATTCAATTTTCAAGGTTGAAAATTTTATATCATTTTAGATCTCAATATATCCTCTAAATTCAGGAAAACAGAGTGTGTTAGGATTTAAAATTACTGTAATAATATTTTCTTAAGCTATTATATGAAAATCCTACCAACTGCATGTTTCTCTCAACAGCAGATCTGAATTCATCCAGTCCTATCTCCAATTGGGTATTCTCTTCCTTATCAAGACTCTCTGTAGCACTCTTTCCCTTAAGGATAACTACTCAATGATTAATTTTGGAAATAACAGATTCCTCATCAGTGATGGAGGAGGTGGATTTCATAAAGTTCTGGATATCTCTGATTTTAGGAAGGATCTCTTGGACAGAGACTACGTCCAGATCAATATAATCAATCAGGCTGATTGCTTGAGTACCAAGTCTGAAAGAATTGATTGGTTGATTTACTCAATCTTTCCTCCAACATATCCTGCAGATTTATCTTTGAGCAGCTTGGCTGCATTTTTACTCTAAGTATGATTAAACATTGCAACGAATGTTTATAGACCAGGGAGGCTGTCCAAATTTTCTACCGTGGTGTCAAGTTACTAGATATATGGGGTTAAAGATTCATTATTCCTTGTTATGTTATAACTTCATTGAGTGCACAAGTCCTGATATTCATCTCCCTTTACCTTTCCTCTATCGAACTTAGATTCAAGGACGCCAAGTGTTTTCTTGAACGATAGAATAGATGATTTGCAAATCTTCTAATTCAGACCTTTCTTGAGGTGTTAGACTGAAAACAAAATTAATTTAGTTTGTATTTTATATCATCTTAGTGATAACATCTGTCATAGGTTTGGCAAGTTTAAAATGGTCAATCATCAATTTTGAGACTTTAAATACATTCTCCCATTTTAAATAACCATCTCTCTACATGTAAAACGCTACAAACTTCATTATTTGTTAATTCCCAAATTTATCAATAATCTCAGTTTAAAATGGGGTTTTGGGGTTTTGGGGTTTTGGGG